AGGTTAGTGGCTGTAATGTAATTTTAAACAGCAGTGACTCTCCTTATGGATATAGAAATATCTACCTCAATTACTTCATTGAAATTAAACTTTACAGATGGAGCAGCAATAATCAGAGCTGAAATCTAGTTAATAAAACCAATTTACACTTGTGCTAAATTGCTAATTAGATAGTAAATAGATATAAGAATATCAGCTTGTTTGATTTCCCTTATCTGATAAATTATAACTTAACCATAAATATCTTTATTACTAATTCTTCCTGATTCCTTTCACTTATAATAATCTGACTTAGGGCTGTCATATATTAATGAACATTAATTGCAATTCTATTATGAAACATTAATAATGAAAAAGAGAGACAATGGTTTCATGGTACTTTCCAGAAGGTTCAGAGGAATTTCACATCCTTAAACATAATGAACATCTGCTATTATGAAAAAGAGTGTATCCACAGAGACAAACATAGCTTAATGCAAAGGGATGAAAATCTTCGTTCTTTATTGCTAAGATGTAATGATCTTTTTCAACAGAACAGAGAACCCAGTGGGGTCAACTTTTCTTTAATATTGCAAAACACTTGTTGAATCTAAAAAGAAGGTTGCATCTGTTTTTATTTATTCATCTTTCCAAAAACACTTCCCAGCTTCCTCTTCTTGCAATAGAAATGGATCCCCATAGCATGAAGGTGCCACTACCGTGTTTCAGTGAGGGAATATATAGAACATTACTGTTCTCCACAGGTTAAGTTTTTGATAGAACTTAAGAAGTCATAGGATAATTTTCATTATTCATGCTTGTGCTTCTCTAGTCTTAATAATACCTGTATGTTAAGTGCTAACATTTCCAATATAACTAGGACCATTCTTCTGTCAGGAAGGGAAAGAGGGGAAAAATATTTGGAAATATAATGAGGGAGCATAAAGACAGAGTGGATTATATTTAAAGGTATTGTGAAGTATTTTCGCAATTTTTTAGAAGACCTGCCCTCTCCTCTGCATGCACAACCCTGTACCCGCTCCCAAGAGGGAACACCCATTAAACGCATGAGAGAGCATGCATGAGCCCACCTCTCCTTGTGCATGCTCTGTTTAAAAGTTGCTGTTCTCATAGTTCAGACAAGCTTACTGTGCCTAAATGTCCGCCCTAAACCCTAAATCTCTCAATTACTATATAAAGCAGGGAATATATAGTGGAATTTGTAGTGAACTCAGCTAACCTACCATTTGAAAAGATGATCATAATTTTTTGCTCCCCGTTGGTCACGTAACTCCTCCTCCTCTGTGCGATGCCTGTGCCATCTTTGCTATTAGTAGCCGCTGTCGGGAAGCGACAGCCTATGGCGACAGCGGGCTGCTGTGACAGGAAATCCCATAATGCTTTGAGAGGAGAACTCTGCGCAAGGCATCCTGGGATATATGTGCCTCTTCTGAGGCCTTTCTTTTCTTCTAATGCACTTTGAAAATGGACAAGGGTCGTAAGAGAAAAAGTGTTTACAAAGATCCGTGGTGAGAAAGGTGAGCAGAAAAAGATAGACAGACAGACAGATAGATAGTTAGGAGGACCACCTATTTAGATGATCCACTCGGAAATAAAAGATCATCCTCTATACCTTTAACAGAGATCTCTGTCACTGAGAATTGGGATTGTTCTTGATTTTGAATAATGTTTGTTTTCTTGATATCACTGGAGCCAGTGATGTCTCCTCATTTAGAAACGTTTATATATAATGATGGTGAGATGTGGTTATGTGGTAGGTTGGGACTCTTGAAATATATAAAATGCTTCTTTAATTATTATTCTGCGCCGTATTCCAATGAAGGGAGCCCGATGGTAAGTGCTGCCATTTCTCTGGTTTGAGTAAGATAAATTCTGTTAAACCTGCAGTCACATGTTATAGTCAATTAAAACATATAAATCATAAAATCTTATTTAACGTGTTTGTTCTGAGACATCTCTTCTCAGTAAAGAATCAGGGAGAGCTTAAAAATGTAAACACATAGCTTTCCATTACAGAAATTAAAGGTATAGTAGAGGATGCTCTTTTTCCAGGTGCATCATCAAAATAAGTTGTCCTTCTAATTGTCCATCATTCTGGTGATATGTTTACATAAGGCCATCCTATGTGCTCGTCCCCATTTTCACTTAAGGGTGGTGAGTCTGACATAGTGGAAAAATTGTAAATCTTCTTTTGGAAAGTAAGCTTGTATGAGCGATGCATACAGCAACTTTTAAACGGAGCGTGCACAAGGAGAAATTGGCTTGTGCATACTCTCACACACGTTTAATAGTTGTTCCCACTCGCCAGTGGAAACAGGGTTGTGTATGTGCATTTTTTTTAAAGTAGAGAGGGTAGATCTTTTCAAAAATTTGTGAAAATCCACCACTATACCTTTAAATTTTGTTTTTATCTGAGCAGAACAATTTACTCACACTTAGTGCATGCAAATAGTTCTTGTTTTTATTCTGCAATATTTTTCTTCTTTTCAAAATAGTTGTCCTTCTGCCAGAGGATCTCCCTGTAAAATCAGAATACATTTCAATTGGATACAAAAAACATTAAGGCAATGCAAAAAAAAAAGAGGATGGTTGATGAGGAAGGACATGGGCATTTATATACTAATGTAATATCGCAGATTTCTTCACCTCCCTGACGCCAATAGTGACAGAGACGGGTAATAATAAATAGGGGAAAGCACTAGTTGAGCCAAACAAGGCATAAAATGTACAGCTACTTAAGCCAAAAATAATATGAGCAGTATGCTTACAAGGCCTTAGTGCCCCAAAAACAAAGAAAACTCTTTTAGTGCCGCTGTTGACTGCAACTCATAGGTGCCGTTAGACACCAGATCACTGCCACTCCTGCACCTGGTCCACCACCTGCCACTTCAGGCAGCTGAACGACGGCTGCTCACATCTGTTCTCACCCATGGAGACACGACTACACCGTGAAATAAATGACCTCTTCACTACATGAAACATGGGTTGATATTTGTGGCTAAGCTGCGCCACGAAGTGAAGCCTCAAGCAGTTTAGTGAAAGTGAAACAAAACTGTATTTAGCAAGAGAAAGGAAAAAAACAACACACACACACATTAAGAGTTCACACCTGGCATTTTATCAATATGTCATCTTCGTAAGACAAAAGCTCAAGACAAACACACCTTCACAAAGTTACACATCTATGTACAATTCTGCATTTTAAGAAAACAAAGTAAAACTTTAGCAGTTATGCAATAAATAAATAAGAACAATGAAGATATTTTCTGTACATTTCAACTTATACCAAACTAAATACTGCCACTGCTGTACTGCTGCTGCAGCAAACTACAGAAAAACATATTTGTCTGTCTTATAATGTGTGTAAAAACAACAGGACACATCCAAAGCATTGGCACAGATCTTTTAGAGAAACAACACAAAAAAAACTGAAGAAACAGTACGCAAATATGCAACATCACTGTTCAGTGAAAACTCTGATAAAGAAAGCAAATCGGCATCAGGAACGCAGCTTTGTATAGTTCTGGACACTTGAAATAATCTAATAAGTCTGATTTCCCACATGTAAAATTTCATAAAATGTTATATTTTCATCAGAAAAAAAAAAAAATGTCCAGGCATGCAGGGTCAGGCTGTGTTTCTCGAACAGAATTCTGTTTCATGCTAAAAAAAAATTCATGCTAAAAAAGCTCAAATGTCACAAAATTACTTTAGCATTTAGGGCAAAGTAAAGGTAAATCTGCATATTTACAAATCAAAGTTCTTCTTTTTCTAAAATATTTTGCCAAATATTTACTCCAGATGAAAAATTAAGAGACCATAGTGATTTTAAAGGGCATTTCTGAGAGGATCATAACATTTAGAGAACATTTGGTATTTATTTATTTTTTTTTTTGCCTCAGCTGTTTTGGCTCAGACGATTCAAATGATTCAGAAACCTGGATGGTAACCTTGCTATTTCAGTTGAGGGCATGGGGGTTTTGGCCAGGAAGAATTTAGAGACAGCTTTATGGAAGTAAATATGTGCCATCAGAATTTGAATAAAAAATACCTCTGAAATTTGATTGTTGTATATTAGTGCTTACTTTTTCAGTATTAAAATAAATTCAGAATATATTTTTAACCTAAAAAAAATTCAATGTTATTATTTGTACATTAAAAAAAAAATTCAGTGTAATTTTTTTTTACATGGTTGCAATTTTCAGTTATTAAAAAAATTCACATTCCTATTTCAAAGTGATCAAATTTCCAATATACATATTTTTCACAGTTTAAATTTTCAGTGTTAAAAAATTCAGCATATAAAAAATTCAACTTTTCAAAATTCAAATGAAATATTTTCGTTGTCCTCCAATTCAACTTGCTCAAATTCACTGTCACAAATGTAAAAATGGCCAAGGTTACTTCAGGTCACAGACATTAGCAATGGATGTCCGATTCCAACATCCACCTAATCACGTGACACAACCGTTATATTGAAGAAGTACCAGTATCACCCAGGCTGGCGACCATGGAGGCGAACTCAAACCCAACGGTGAGTTTAATGCTTTCATATTTCTGTAGTATATTTTATTTTGCATATGAAGTTTGATACATTATCTTAAAGCCTGATTTAAAACACTGGTTTGGGCCGTTGTTAATCTTACACCGTGTAGTGCCGGCATATTACTTCTCGCTACCTCCGAGCACCTCCCCCCCTCCTTTTTTTTTTTATGTACAAATAATGACATTGAATTTTTTTTAGGTTCAAAATATATTCTGAATTTATTTTAATACTGAAAAAGTAAGCACTAATATACAACATTCAAATTTCAGAGGTATTTTTTATTCAAATTCTGATGGCACATATTTACTTCCATACAGCTTCACAATCAAGTTAGAAATATTGAAAATGTAAGTTTTTATCAGTTATTGTTTCCCTACCATATGGACGCACTGTAAAAATTGAAATATGTGTGTATGTTATAAATATGTGTATTTTGCATTTTTTTCAGCAGATAAGCAAGACAGTTTGCAAGTGGAATGACATAATAAAAATAAAGTCATCTTATTTTAAGTGCATAATATCTAACTATTTTAGTTAAAGGACAAAAATACTCATTCCCCTCATAGATCATGTTATTCAACTGCTCAGATAAAGTGCAAATACACCTATTTAAACAAAGATTTGTGCTTATTTTTAGAATTGTTTTTTACGGTGAAGAATTCCTCAGTATTGGAAGGCTAAACGCTAACCGGACAGTTATCCTCATTTTAGCCTGTTTTGGCCGACACAGCCACCAAACAAAAAATACTAATGTAAATCCAGATAACTGTTTATAAACTGCTTTACATTATTTTATCATCAGTCTGAACGTAAACTATGTTCTCAGTTTGTTTCATACATAAAAAATCCTAGGCTACCTACCTACATTTCCTGTACAAATACCCCCCCGACTAAGTAACTATCCAACACAAACATGACCTAACTTTCACAAAATATCCTTCTTAAAAAAAACCTCTATGACACCTTTAATTTGACTCGTTTAAGACAACAAATATTAAATTCCTTTCACAGCAAAAAAAAACACCGGCTTCCTACACTTGCTTAAAAAAACTCCAAGCAGTACTTCTCATGTTTGCCTTCCACTCTTTCGTGTTAATCCCTGGCAAAACACAAACAGTAATGCAACTGGGAAATTTCTACTGAAACCGTGTCTGCGGGTTTTTTCAAAGAAATAATAAAAAATATATAAATAGCAGTGGATCTGCAAAAACTGAAATTTACTGCAGTGTTAAGAAAAAGCACTTGTAGAAATGTAGCTGGTGTTTTCATCTATATAGGGTGCAGCATTTTTTATTTTCTCCAGGTTTGAATGTATTAAATATGGTGCTCAATAGATGAGGTGTGTGGGACGGGAGCAAGACACAGAGACATATATATGTATATACACAACATAAGGTGCATGACACATGTGAGACAATGTCTGGCTCTTTTTTTTCCCTCTGTTTCTGTATGAACAGTGTTGCTCTATTTCAGAAATAAAAGAGAAAGAAATAAAAGAGCAAAGAGATATTTCATTTTTCAATTAGAGAAGAGTGAAATGTTTCTGGGTGCTGTCCGTGTTGGCCTTCTATTCAGAGGAACACAATTGTTTCCTCCCGTCCGTCCTCCTGATCGCTGTCTGTCTCCAAGGAAACCAGCGTGTTCAGCTCCAGCTGATGCTCACTGGGATGTGTGAGCTGTGGATTGAGGTCAGCCGTCGACATCCAGGTCTCCCCATTATAGCTATGATCTGAATGACCACAAAAGAAAAAAAAAAAAAGAGATTTCAATTCCACACCGAAAACAGAACACTAATAGACAATAAACAAGCCTATTTAAAAGCTACTTTAGTGCACATTTGGGTGCTGAAGGTAGACAGGTATATAACCCAAAATGCTGGATTTGAATGTGTCACTAAGTGCATTGAAATCTAACAATCAACCAGCAAAGTGCATAAAATAACCTGAAGACATGTTAGACAGCCAGAAATGAACTCAACTTCAAAATATGCATTAGTTCTGCAACAATATATCAATATACTTTAAAGATAAATAATTTTTTAACATTTGTTAATGTTATATTTTTTATTTGTAAAAAGAAAGACTAAAATAACTGTTAACTTTTAAGTATTTATCTGTGCCTTCAGAAACTAAAAGGAGAAGAAAAGAGTAACAATTGTGGCCACGATAAGGTGCAGAATACAGGAAATATTTTAAAAGAATTTTGAGTGTTTCTACAAATCTACTACTATTTATTTCTCCGTAAAATACAATTGAAACCAAATATGTAAACTCTATAAAAAGATACAATCCTTTTTTTCTTACTAGATGACATTAAATAAAACAAATGTTGGTTTTGGTTAAATATTAATTTAACGGCCAGAATAATTAAAAAGTTAAACCTTTCACAGATTCATTCAGTTTTTTAGGAGTCAGAATTTCATATAAGTATCCTTAGTATTAGATATAATTGACTATCAATGGCCATGACTGTGGTCGGCTTAAAAGCTTCTCAAAACAAACAGCTGGAATGTTACACATTCCTTCTAGTCAGATTTATAGACCATCTTGCTTTCACAACTCTTTATAGCTCTGCCTGCAGATGCTCAATCTGATTAAGATAAGGAAGTGGTGTCACTTCTAAAATGGTCTTTGTTTTCACCACTTAACTCCTTAGGATTAGAATCATTTGAAGGATTTACTTGTGTCCAAGCTTTTATTTTCCTGACTGATATATTGAAACCGTGCTTTAATGATATCAATTTTATGATGTGCAACAGTCCCTCCTGGACTAAAACACTCCCCGAGGTCATGCTACCATCGCAAAACTGCAATCTTATCATTTTATGAGTGTTTTGAGTGCAAATGTTTCTTTCTGAGGGAACTCACTTAGAGGGACGGAGTAATTAAAACAGTTTATTTATACAGTTTTAGTTCATATCTGGTTTCATCTGTAACACAGGTTAAAAACTACATGTTAGAGCGTGCTTTGGTGGCGAGGTGGTTAGCGCACATAACCCATGTTTGGAGGCCTTAGTCTTTGACACGGATGACCTGGGTTTAATTCCAACCTATGGTCCTTTGCTGCACGTCTATCCCCCTTTCCTGTTAGCCTACTGTCCAAAAAATGAGCCACTAGTGCTGTAAAAACCCAAAAAAAGAAAAAAAACTTGTGCTTTTTTTCTGTTCAGATAATTGGAAACAGCAAAAGAAGTGATAAATCATTTAATGATCTCTGCCTGATTGGTTGACCGATGTTTTTTTAAACACAGCCCACAGATCGACCACAGCAGCCGGGCTTTGGGTTTCCATGATCAAAGTACAAGATGGCTAAAATAGATCCTATAAATCATTGCTTTTTGACTCAGAACAGCCAAATTTATGATCTATTCATCATCTTCTCAAACATAATCAGATGGCTGGATTCGAGCAGAGCTTCCAGCTCGCTCTTAATGTTTGGCAAACTGGAAGACATGCAAATCAAACAAAAACAAAGAAAAAAAGGGAAGAAAATAATTTTTTTTTTGTTTAAAATGTTTTGGAGCAGCTTGCAGCTCTGTTAATATAAAAGAAGGTATTAGATGCCAACTGATTTAGGCATATATGGATACATTTTCTAAAATAAACAAAATCGAACAAAGCCTATATGCAGGCTGCATGTAGCTGTGCATTTGGGTAGATTTGCATCTTTATGTTTGTCTTCACTGTAGGTCTGTCTAGCATTAGGGCAGGTGTGCTGTCATGGTAACAGATGGCATGAACTATAAATTGCCTCACTGTGTTCCCTGCAGGAAAGAGTCTCTGATTAATCATATAAGAGTCTGTTGGAGTAGCCCTCTCAGCCATCACAGACACCACATGGCTGCTGATAGATGAGATATTAACGTGCAGCCAGATGACAAAAACACTCCATCTCTGTCATCGAGGAATCCCATTTAAGCAATATTAATATATTATAACACAGCTAGCAACTTGTCTAAAATAAATTACATTAAAAAAATAGATAAATGCTTTCCTACTTGGTAAAAGGTTTTGCAAAATTTAGGTGTAACAAATTCGGGTTAATTCAGCTTCTAATGGGAGTGCATGGCTGCTTTAGTGGTGAGTCACATCAGCCGCAGGTTTATAATTTAAGGATCCAGAAGCCGACCAATAAAGTACCGGAATAAAGGTTTAATACTTTATGTTAATAAAGATGGGGACTTCAGTATGAAGTGTTCATGTATGTTTATGAGGGAAACTTCAGCTCAGGAGGATCATTTATCATCTTGACATTTTGCTGACACTTAACAAATCTAGCCTTTATGAAAAAGATCCTTTTTTAGAAAGGCCTTTAGACATCCAGTTGTAAAGTTTGTTGCAAGTCATAAAAGAAACCTTGCAGATATTTGGAAGTTGGTGATTGGATAAGATGAACTAAAATTCAAATTACTGGCAAATGTGAAAACGGTCTATGTGGAAAGCAATGAAAACACTACATCATGCTGTGGGCTTTTATTTCCACAGTAGAGTTAGATTGTTAAGGTTGATAAATACAGAGAAACACATACATGTGTTTTAAAAACAAAATAAAGGATATTTTTCTTCACTTCTTGATAATGTACTACATTTTGTTGGTCTATTATAAAAAAAACTGTAACATTTCTCTACCAACAAAAGAAATGCTGCACAAAGCTAACACAAATTAATTTAATTTATGCCAATTTTATATTACATTGAATATTTGACAACTCTAATGGGTTTCTAGCTTTCTACTTCTCTTAAATTTATTATTTTGGAAATCAAATTTTTATTTTATTTTGCTTTCCAAGGGGCACTTCAGTTTAGGAAAAGGCAAACCTAAAGCAAATGGATGGGGCTACAAAGAGGAAGAAGCTCTAAATCCAAATCGCTTTAATTTTTTAAGATTCAAAACGTTTCAAACTGAGCCTTTTGGTCTCAGTAATGTTAACTGAAAAACACATTCTTGATCAAAGAGACAATCAATTTCTAAACAAAGAATGTGCTTAATTTCCACAGCAACATTTTTTCTTTTTCTTTTAATCCCATAGAAACAATATAACTTTTTTTTTTTTTTCCATGGAAACATTAGACAATGAAAATAAAGTGGTGGCCTTTTGTTGCATTTTTAGATTAATTTGTCATTCTGCTGACTTTTTTTTTTCCCCACTGAAGGACATATGACTCATTCATCAACACTGGAAACAGCATTGCAGAGTAAGAACTCTTGTAAGAGCATGTTTCTGTATGTGCCGCTTCAGCTCCACATGCACAATCAACAAGTAAATTAAAGTCACTGCATAAAAGAGATGCACTTATCAGCTCTTCTGTGAAGAGCCCTCCAAAAAGCTAAGAGCACACATTTAAGCAGCTGGAGTTATACATACACTTCAGGTGGATTAGCCCAGGCTAAAGTCAGGATGGTGATAACAGTCAAAAAGCCTCTGTTCAGCTACACTGTGTAAGTTTTTTCCCAAGTATTAGCTTGATTTAAAACTTCTCAATCTGCTGGTCCAAAGTGGTTTGCTATCAGAATCCAAAATAAGAGAGGGAGGCTGTATAATTTGGTGGCGTTGCATTGTTGCCAGTTATTTGCAGGTGCGCTAAACCTGGATGCTACTGGTCTAGCACCCCTAGTGGCTATATTTGGATAAATTGGAAACTTACCTTTTATAATAGTGAGAAATCAAAGTGAAATAAACAATCAATAAAAGCGGGGAAAAAATAGCTTTTAAAAAGGCTAAATTAAAACATGTCCGATTCATATCAGGTACACGTGATAAAATCACGACCTAAGTCCTAAGATGAAATCATTCAATGTTAAGTGTTTATAAATACAATATGCAGCACTGATATATAATTCTGAAGGAGGTCTTGCTACGCTACAACACTGCTGAATTAATGTGTCTTAGCATAATTTGAATGTAGGGCTGCAACTTACGATTATTTAGCAAATCGATTAATCTGTTGATTATTTTTATGATTAAACGATTAATAATCAGATTACCAAAGGTTCCTCAAAGAAGAATTTTACTAAATTAAACCAGGTGAAACTAAAATGTTCCCCCTTGAGGAGTTCTAGATTGAACATATTGACAAACGAAAAAATTTTAATTTATCTTAAATGCTAAATATTTACATATTTTTTTAAATAATTTTGGTACAACTACTGCTCTAAATTGGTCGCTCTGTCAGCTAAGTTTTACAGTCTCTACACACCAGTTAACGATTAATCGATCATTGAATAATTTGATGATTATATAAATACGGTAATCGATTAATCACGATTAATCTGCTTAATTGTTTCAGCCCTGATTAAATGACATAATTGGGACATTACAACCTTGAAAATGGTCAGATCGGCCTCTCTGGCTGCAATGCGTGCTCCCGACACAGGGGGAACAGAAACAGAATTTAGCACAAGACCGGTTCAGCCTCGGAGTTAGTACCCACCCTTTCCAGTAGAATTCCTGAAATAATTCGTTTTGGGACTTATAAGTGTTTCAAATGTTTTTTATTTGTTTTCTTAAAATGCTATTTGTTTTGAATTTTTAAAAGTGTTTTGTTTATTTTTATTTTTTAATGTAAATTTGTTTCCTGAAAGGATCATTTGTTTTGGAACTTGTAAAGGTTTTTTTAAAACGTAAATTTGTTTTCTCAAATGATAATTTGTTTTTTAGATTTTGAAATGTTGGTTTGCACCTCCCGGCCACCATAGATTTATGACAAATGCGCTGCAAATGTTTGAAAT